AGGAGAACCTGCTCACGCAGTTCGCGTGGGGCCTCAGCGACCTCAAACTGCGGAGGAAGATGGTAGGGACCGCCGACATCAAACTAGAGGCGGCCCTTCAACTCGCCATCGCGCACGAGGACTCCCATCGCCAAACCTCGGCAGCGCACCAAGTACTCCCCGACGGAGACTCTGAGGAAGAAGACGTCCACCGGGCCTATGGAGGGGCTTGGCAGCGCACTCAAGCACCACAACGCACCCAAGCACCACACCGCACTCAAGCGCCGCACCCGAGCACCGGCCGCCAGCTTCCCAGCACGTCTGCGTGTGCCAGCTGCGGGGACCCGCACGACCGCAAGACCTGCAGGTTCCGCAACGCCACATGCCACAACTGCGGCTGCACGAGCCACATTGCAAAGGCCTGCCGCTCCAAAGCAGCTCGCCCGAAGGCGGCAACCTACCTCGAGGAAGACGCCGGCGCTGAGGATCTCTACTTCCTCACCCAGACAGCGGAGAAGGTATTGCAACTCCCCAGCAAGGGCCCCTTCCCCAAGTTCATGGCCACCGTCACGATAGAGGGAGCCCCGTGTAAGATGGAGGTGGATTCAGGTTCCGCGGCCTCCATAATCTCCGCGGCAACCCTGTGCCCCAGGAGGGGACCCCGATTGCGCCCAGCCCAAATTACGCTTATGGATTTCCAGCGCAACCCGGTGCCGGTCAGAGGAGTCGGAACCTTCCGGGTGCAGTTCAAGAACTTTAAAAGGAACCTGGACTTAATAGTGGTCGAAGGCGACCTTGTCAGCTTACTGGGGCGGGCCTGGTTTGAACCCCTGGGCATCACTGTAGGAGTAGTACAGGCGTGCACAGGCGTGCACGACCCAGGACGTCAAAGAGATTTGCCGTGAGTTCCCCGCTGTCTTCGATGATTCTCTGGGCAGATATACGGGGCCCCCCGGTGACCTTGCGCTTAGATCCCTCGGTGGCCCCCATAAGAATGCGAGCCAGGACGGTTCCGTTGTCGGTAAAGCCTAAGATCGACAAGGAACTGGACCGCCTGGTAGCACAAGGCATCCTAGAGCCAGTCTCCCACGTGGTGTGGGAGACTCCCATAGTCATGGTTAAAAAACCAAATGGGGCAGTCCGCATCTGCGCGGACTATAAATGCACATTGAACAAGGCGCTGCAGGACCACGCGTACCCGGTCCCTGTAGTCAACCACATTCTAGCCACCTTGGACGGGGCTAAGATTTTTGGTAAACTGGATCTCGCCCAGGCTTACCAACAGTTACCTGTAGACGAGGCAACTGCGGAAGCACA